AAACAAAAATCTGATAATTGTAATATGACAGAACTTGCAACAGCATCTCAAAAATAAGGAATGCTATCATTCGTTGAATGAGACATCAAGCAGTCATGACGGAGCCTCCTTTTTAATAATGCACACAAGCTACATAGAATACAAAATAGCCCAAAAGATGTAAGAAAATAGAAAAAGCTAAACTAGTCATCGCATTTCTGTTCTCTAAAGAAAAAAGGCTAGGAAAGACTCTGAAGGAGGTTTTGAAACAGAACGCCCTCAACATCATCCAACAGTTTAGCATCACATCACAACAGCCTCTAACATCAAGCTGTAGAATACTAGTCATTGCATTGTGCCTGATAGGTAGGTTTGAACCCCCCAACCCAAAAGCTTTTCTAAAACTTTTTTATCAGTTTTGTTACTTTCATAGTCAAAACCGGCACAGAACAGGAAACCAATTTTAAAGCTCAAGATATTGGTTATTGTTTAAAAAAATCATTTGAGTATAGTAAAAGTTAAAAAAATATACATAGAACCAATCATTTCTATACTTCTCTAAAGTGGAAAAAATTGAAATGTATTTAACACTAACAATGGAGGTCCCTGGACTGCACATGCACCATAGATTAAAAAGAACCACAGAAAGCTAAGATGTTACTGCTAACCTTAACCATGGTGTCCCGCATAAAATCATATTCAAATCGTTTAAGTTGAAGTTGAAGGACTGGAGGAAAGTCAATGAACAACACACCCTTCTTAGCATCCTGAAATAATCACACCCAAAATTCGAAATGCAGTCATTTAACTGGGAAAAGCAGTAACAGAGAATCAGTTATAATGCACTGAACACTGAACACCTACATAAAACAACTGAAAGAAAAATGAATGCTTGTGTCAAAAAAAAAAACTGCCAAAGCTATTCAGTTCTAGCCTACTGCAAGACACAATTTTGTTACATCCACAGGAGAAATAGCCACAGTTTGTTTGTGCTTGCCAAAATAGCAGCTTCTTATGCAGCTCTTGTACTAATTAACAATGATCTAACTAAAGGCAAAATTGCTAGTAATCAAGTTATTTGTATTGTATGGACAAACCGTTATATCGTTCTTAGAAGCATGAAATTGATTGATGACATTCTAGATCCATTTTATTCATTGCAAACATCATTAAGCATCAAATCAGCCATTTGCATTTCACAACATACAAAAGAAACTTACCTGCAATCCATATTGTTCAGCCTGATATTTGTTATCACCTTCAAGACGTTCAACTTCTACATACTTGTCAAAAGAAGCATATACATCGCGACAGCCTTTAACATCAAGCTGAAGGTCTGGTATAGGCAAAAATAAATTAGCATGACATGGAGAACAACTAAACAAGACTCAAAAAACCCCAAATCAGTCATTTCAGAAACAGATACCATAAAATGACTCCTTCCTTGTAGATTTGTAATCCACATTAATGCACTCAATGTAGTTCATATGGTGCCCTTCAAACAACTGCTGAATGGTGCCCTCCACAACAGTTCCCTGGCGGCATAACAGAAGTAATCAAATTTTAAATTTGGTTTTACATTACCCAAGACAGAAAATCAATTAAAAGCTTTTCACCTTCATTTTATCTTCAAGTTTTTCACACAAGACCCTATTAAGTTCTTGAACATCATGCTGCATGAAAGAATCATATGTGTCCCATCCAAAAGATTTGGTCAGCTCTTTTGTTGCAACACTGCTGTCACTGTACTGGAGTTTATAAAATAAACTCTGTAGAGCAAGAGGGATGCTTCCAGATGGCATATCATTCTCAGTTGTAGGCATATGATACACTGCCTGAAATGTAACATCCAAGCCATTAGCTACAATAAACTAATGACACATTCAACAAAATAAGGAGTACCAGGACTTACCTTCCTAAAGTAAGGAATGTGATACAGAGTTTGGAGCAGAGAGTTCATGTAACAAGTTGCCCCTTGATTCTTAAGACCAACATAGCCAGTTTCCTTCTTTGAGTCGTATGTCCAGTAATCCACAATTCTGCGCACAATAACCTCTGCTTCAACAATCAAAGTGTCATTCACAAGATACCCTCTGCAAGGATCATACAACTCGCCAAGGGGCATGAAGGATGTGAAACCCCAATCACTTTCTCGTGCATTAAACTGGTGTTGTGTGTCTGCAAAATGCAAGTCAGAGTGCAAATTTAATAGGCCTAACATTATTGTCTCCAATTTTATGACAAAATCCAAATCAAGTTACCAAAAGAATAGTTGTAAAAACCACGTAATACTAAAACATATTACCACCACCTACACCTAGTAACCCACGTATGGATTTTAGATAACAAAAAAATTAATAAATAAATCGAACAAAGTCAGATGCTTTGCATGCAAGAACAGCATTGTGTCCACAAGGAAAAATCGGTATTTTTACCAAAGATCAAGATTCAAATACATCATGCTGAGATTATCTTCTAAATTTCAAGACTACTATTATCGGCCAAAAGAAGTATTCATGTCTATTAGTCATCAGAAAATGATATAGAGAACTCCATATTGAATCATAGGGCGTCATAAATGTGTCATGCTTCTTTTAATCTAACCAGTAATCAGAGATTACCTGCCTTTCATTGCATCAAATCTATATTAGACTGCTCAGAAAATGGTAACAAAAGCAGAAGTCTTTGACATGATGGAACATCAGCACAATGAGTGATGTTCTTGTATGGATCACAACAGAATGCAACTAAAAGCAACTTCCTATACAAGACTATATCAACATTTTTCTTCAACCATGTTACAAACTATCTAAACCCAGCAACAAACTCTATTGATGTTATAACACCCATTGAGAAAAAGAACTAAAAAATACTCAAAACAGTAAGTGTACAGATAATCTACTGAAGGGTTAGTACCTTTTCTTATGGAATATTTATTATGAATTTGATTAACCACAGCCAAACTAAACTGCGCATATCTACTCCACCCATAGGGTAAACTTGCCGAGTCAGCAACATCCAAATACATAGACAAATGATCCACATTGTTTCCCTTTGGAAATATCAGTATTCGCCTAAGCAATGCAAGAAAGAAAAAAAGTATCAATCATCCATTTCTATCCCAAAAATAAAAAGAATGAAAGAAAGAAACGACAGTAGTACTATCAAGAAGAAGGGAATAATAAATGCACCATTTGAAACCACCAACGAGGAAGACTTCGGAATAATGCTTTTTAGTGTTTAACCTAGAGAAGTTCTCAATCTTCCAAGTGAATCTTGATGAAGGAGGATCCTCCACCGGCTGATTTTCCACAGTATTTGCAGTCTCGGGTTGCGCAACGACTAACAATTAAGACATCAATTACAAGGATCACAATCAAATTAAACCCTCCCTTATCAGTGCTCCCCAAAAAATGAGTAGAAATTTGGCGAACTTGCATTGACGCGAGCAATTCAAAGAAGTAAATTCATTAAAAAGAAAGCACCTTCCATGGGCTGGTGATTGTCGGTCAAATCAGAGTGTGGCACGAGCATTTCCTCATCTTCTTGTTGCTGAAAATTAAGAAAAATATTTTCCGAAAATAATTAAATCAGAAGAAGTCGGATCCATCAACAAATCAATATTGAAGAAAAGAACCCTAAAATGAAATCCAAAAGCATCAATTAATCGAAAGAAAAATCTTAAAAAATTTTAAAAAAAATAGAGAGAGAGAGAGAGAGAGTACATCGACGGGGGCAGGGGTCATGACTGTCATGGCTATGAAATTGAGAGGTGAATTCGAAGCTTATAAAACAGAGAGCAAAAAGAGAGGAGGAAATGGGAGAGAGGTTTCCTCTTTCTTTTTGTTCAATTTTATATGGTGATTTATTACAGTGAAGAGAAGAGAGAAGAGAGAGAGCGAGATCACCAGATGGCGGTCGAGAGGGAGAAAGAAAGGTCGTTCGATGGTCGATGGTCTTTATTTGGGAAATGGGTGTTTTCGGGATTTCGAATTACTTTCTGCACTTCATATTTTTTCCTTGCAACTCCACTAAGAAAGGTAAAAGCAATAGACATGTACAAATACGACGTATAATAATAATACTGCATGATATTTGTAGATATACACAACAATAAGGTCAAACTTGTATTTTAATCCCTTTTACTTTATTCCTATTAATAAAAAATGAGATTCTAATATAAATTTATTTATTTTAAAAAGTACGTAGCTTTTTTCCCTTAAATGTCAAATTTTCTGTTTTCATTTATTTCCATTTTATTCTTACAAAACTAAATTTGAAATCTTTTTTTAATATTAATTTGATTGAAAAAAATGAAATAATCATTATCTTTGTATTCCTGTTCTTCTTTTATGTTAATTTTTAATTTACAGAATAATCATTCCATAAGAGATCCAGAAATACACTACCTTATCCGTATAGGAAAAAAACATGATTGAACAAAAATACCTTAAGCAATTTCAAAATTTCCATAACATGGATCTTCCGAGAATAATTCTATTTTCTTATCTCAACTCTCAAAGGGTCAAAATTAGGAAAATACCACATGATTTTCCTTCTCAATTTCCCTGGCTTCGACTAATGGGAAGAAGTCAACACAAAAAAAATATTTAATAAGCTAACCAATTGATAGAAGTCCTCCATGGGCACACTTATTCTCCGCTGCGAAATCTGACCCAACGTGATTTAACTAATCTAACAATAAAAGAAAGTCTAAAATAATTCAAATGAAATAGAGCTAAAAATAGTCAACTAAAATAAAGACCAAAAAATTCAGGCACGTAACACACTTCAATAGTTTTTAAGGAACCTCGGTCTATAAGGTCAGCTCAATCAAAAGATAATTCATTAAGGAGAAATACTAAAACATAGTTAGATAAAACAACTACCAGAAGACAGAAATCAGATGGTTGGTAAAAGCATTCGGCAGTTCTAACCGATCAGGTTAGATAAGCATATCCGTATGGTAGGAATGCATAAAGCAGCTCCTCTCTTCTACTAATTTCGGAAAATGTTGCGTCTGCAACTGTAAAGTCTGTTTTGACATTAATGGGCTGAAAATAAAATCCCCTCCACAACAAAATTGATTTAATGTACAGTTGTATTTAATAGTAAGACATGCATTATGACAACAATTAAATTCCCCTAGGCATATCCATTTGGTCTCTCTCCACTTCGCATGGATCTCTTCTGCATGTCTGCTTCATAATGTTGAATCGCAGCATCTAGAGCCTGCACAAACCACATCAGACAGGAGTGAAGTACATAAAAAAGCTAAACCCAATAAAACCAACTGCAACCCATAATGCCATCATAGACGTTACCCACTGGCTTCCAACTAAATAAATTGAGATCATTTCATACCATACGACATAAGTCGTCACTGCACCTGCATATGCTGCTATTACCATTTGCCCGTGAGGCTAATAGAACATCTCTCATTTATTTATTATGAACTTGAACGAACCATGTCCGAGTTTCAACCAAAGCCCAAAGCCAACACATGGGCAAACACCCAAGCAGGTGCAATTTTAGAACACGAAATTCACAAGAATAAGTCAACTACCACCTATACCAGTTTAACTCTAATATTTACCCTCGAGTCTCCCTTTCGTTTTTTGGGACATGACCTTGCACTTGAACAAAGTATGAAGGCAAGTTCTCACCTGATGCATTGGACGAATAAGAAGGGAAACCTGATGCCGAAGGTCTGACGGGACAGATCCCTTAATCTCCTGGAATTTAATGGCAGGGTTAAAAACGATATTGCTAAACTAGTAAAGGTAAAGCATCTTTGACCAACCATCCAAACAAATGATGATTTGGCATCACTGGAGCCAAGAAGATAAAATAAAAGAGAGGATATGAATGGTACTTGTGGGTAATTAGACAACACAACCGCAGAAAGGGCAGATTCACCACAAAAACTGAGCTTACAAGATACTAATTAAATAATAATAATAATTATAGCATCAATTCAGAACTACAAGGACTATATAGCTAGCAGCTATATACAGCAATCATGAAGACAGATACCAATACAGAGATCAGAAATTTAAGCGAAGACATAAAACTTTTTCCGACAAATTTACCTCTAGCTGTGGATAGATATGTGACATGGCATCCTTCAGTCTGTTTACCTGCATACAGTTACTGAATGAACAATTCGGAATGATAAATTCTGAAAATAAAGATTCTATAATCAGAAAACTCAAACCACATTAAGATTAATTTCTTAAGAGTGCTGCATTAGAATGCATTGCTTTCAACTTCTCATTTTGGCCATTGCTTTCAGGACAATGTTCCTAACAACTGACTAAGTAGCTTCTCCCTGTAAAATACTCCCGAAAAACGGCCTTGATACCAGGTTGAATAAAGAAGTTCCCTTCTAACACAACTTTTTTTTTCTTTGTGACTTTATGTGGGTGTTTTTGTACACAGGACAGAGGGAGGGAGGTGAGGACTACATAAAACATTTCAAAATAGTATGAAAACTTCATCCATGACAGGAGACATCACCAACCTTCAATTAATCACATATTTACCAGCTTCTAGTTTTTGATAACCTAATAATGTAAGAACAAGTGCAGCATTTACCTTGGTATAGAGGTAACTGGTGGTGATAGGATATGATGACCAAAAATGTCTGAGTAGTTCAAGGATTGATGTCCAGTGCTGGAAACATTGACAGTTTTTCTATGAGCAAAAGATCACAGGAAACAAACCAAAATCTGAAAATAAAATGATCAAATTAAGTAAAAAAATAAAGTTTAAATAAATTTTACATCCTTAAGGGTTAAGGCAGACTAGATCATGCTCCACCAACTATAGAGTAAGCAATGGTGCCAGAAAATAGTCCACAATATAAAAAGCAGCCATAGCAATTACACTAACAAAGAAATCTCACATGCAAAAGTTCCTCTTTAATTTTCTTTGGCAATCTGTCCAGAACACTCTCTTGAGGATTTTTCCCAATATTATATTTGGTAGTTGAGATACTCTGGGTCAAAGCATCAAAAACCTGCATCCCAAAGTTAAAACTGTTAATTATTTTCTCCACTGCTTCCCTTATGAACCTGAAAACATTAAAAAGCACCAAGAAGAAAATTGCTGTTACTTGATGAGCAACTTCAGGCTTGACTATGGGATCCTTCAACCCTATTGCTTTGATCACAGAGATGGACTGTCTCAAAGAACCATACACCTCCTGGCTGCTCAAACTGCATTTTATTTGTTCAGTTCCACCAAGTGCATCTCCAGAAGTTCTAAGTGCATTAGCTTGTTGAGAGTCAAAATAGTCTCGAGGATCCTGGTTTTGGGCACAAATAAATAAAACATCTACCAAAAAAAATATATTGAAACCACATGATCACAAGAAAGTCACCTTAATGCAAAGTGGTGCTAGTGGAAGAATATTTGGTGCCTGAAGATCTTCAATTTCAGTCATCCTTGATACCCTACCTAACCTCTCCCGGCTTGTATCCCCATCTGATTCTCCCTTAGTTGATGATTCTAATGCGAAGAAAGAACATAAGTGCATATTTTACAGCATAAAACCGCAGAGGTTAAATGAATTAGAATAAAACCATGCTAACCTTGTTTTGACTGAGCAAGAGCTTCTGCTACAGACCTCGTGTCTTCCAACTCCACATCTAAATTCAAATTCATTAAAAAAAAAATACCATTTAAGACATGTTTTTTTGAAAGGAAAACATGTACACCATGTTTCCAATAAACAAGCCATTAAGAAAATAAATAAATATATATATATATATAAGAAACTAAATTATGTATTGGTCGATAACACAAGTTCAGGGGAGCCTTTACCAACTGCTCTTCCCTCAAGAACAACCGCAGCATGCCGGTTAATATCTTGGGATAGAGTTCTTCTGTATAGCTCATTTTCTGATTCAGTTACTTCCTTACTACCATCACGAAAGATTCCATGATCCTGCATGTTAAAAAATGAGAACAAATAAAATGCAGGGGATAAAAAGGAAAACAGGGACAAATGTCAATTAAAATAAGATATATTGCCTAAAGTTGAGACTATGGAACTAATCCGCTACAATAGACAGAAAAATGTAGATGAGCCAAGGGTAAAATTTAAAGTGAAACCAAAAACATTCACTTTTTTATCTTCACATTATCAGAAAGCAAACCTTATAAAACTAGCAACAAAATGAATGAATAAATTGAAGAGATGGCATCCAACTTACGGGAAGATGTGTATAATCATCCCCCTCATCAGCATCCATGTCCAGAGTTGGGTCAACCCGCCTGATCTGCAAAAGAGACACATTATACAAAATGGTAAAAACTGTCCTAATTCAGAGTATTATTACCGGAAAAAATGTAAAATTCTTCCAATTTAAAAACGTTCAAAATATAAAAACATATAACTTTCAAAGAAAAGCACCTTCCACCTAGACTCGCTTGCCAATATGTCATCCTGCTTGAGAAAAACAGCAAGTTCCTCATCTTCAGCAGCCTCTGCGGCAGCAGCAACACTATTTTTCGTACTATGTAGGTATTCTGCTCTAAAATATTTGGTCCAGAAATCCCGTTCTGACATCTATAATCCAAAAAAGGAAAGAAAAAAAGAAGTAGGATATACAGAAACATGCTGAATGAACCATTACTTAATAGTCATCCACAAACAGGCAATATAACAATCATCGACAGGCCAGCTGCCAGAAGAACAATTTTTTTTAACAATGCTCCAAGTACCTTGTTAGGAACATAAGTTAGGAATGCACGGTGAACAGCTGGCTTCTCAGCAAAAATCTGGACCAAATCATTGAACATCAATTATACCAGGTCAGACAGCCAAAGACTAATGCGTAAAGGTATTTCATATTTGCTTACATAGTAGAAACCAAAGTTAAGAATCAAGATAAGTTTTAAAAGGAGCTTGGCACTACCTAAGTAGAATAAAAGATAAAAAGAAACAAAAAGATGCCATACTTGAAGAATGATCTCTGGGGTCAAATTAAATGTGACTTTGTTCGTCTGCAGTAACAACAAAACAAAAATCATATAATTTTTGTGTAGCCAACTTACTTGGAAACAGACATTAAATAAACTAAAATACGGTAGGAAAGAGTTGATCTTGTGAGTGAAGACATGGGCACATGGGATGGGAAAGATGTAAGCAAGAGTAAGTGGAAGTGCAAGAGAGAGAGAGAGAGAGAAAGGTTGTACCCGACCATCGGTTGATGGTTTAATGTCAGAAATCATTGCACTTTTGAAACCCAGCCTCTGTTTTGTCTTTTTGTTGGCCTCTCTATCCAGCAACTTCTGCAATTGATGCAGAGGAACATTTCAATCATTTTTTCCAAAATAACAGTCTCCACAAGAGAAAACACAGGCCTAATGTGCGCTTAACCTTCCGTGTTGCCCAAAATTCAGCTTCTGTCAGGACACCGCTAAGCACAAATTGCTTGTGAAGTGTCTGCAATTCACTGAAAACAAGAAAGGACAATTTAATAATTACTTATCAACTCAAGAAGTTGCATCCACTAGCAAAGAATTCAGCGGCAGCAGCATTGGCTTTCAAACTTTGTGCTCGAGATGTAAAGGAAGGATTTATTATATGTTGATACAAGCATTTACAGAATCTATAGCAGCACAAAAGATATGCTTATTTACCAATCAAAACACTAGACCACAAAGCTTTATATAGGACTTCCCAAGCTCATCATATATCCCTTTAAAAATGCAGAACACAGGGTTCCACAATACTCCTTCATATTGACAAATAGTCACAAGATCCAGCTCATTTAAAACAATGAAAACAAGCATAAGCAGAGCTCATGACCCAAATAAAGCAAACACACTCAAGAGCATCAGTTAAGCATTTATTTTACATGCCAAATCTGCTCAGTCTAGCTATATGATTGTGGCAACTCAACTCACATGATCATACCATATTTATCCTGTTTGGCTTAAAGGATGTACATATCTGTATAAAGTAGCTATCATGTTCAACATCCTGCGTCCATTTCAAACAAGACACTTATAATTACATGTGTTAAGTTCCACTCATCATACATAAGAATTAAGGGAAGTTTCATTGCCAGAAATGTTTATATCACAAAGATATGTCCACTGAAATTGCTATATCTCCTGAATGAGACAAGGAGATGATTTCAGAATAAACTTACTATCAACACCTTGTGGCTTGTTTTAACTTCATGTTCGAGATTTATGGTCCCTTGCAAATTATTTAATATCAACATGAGTTTCATATTTAACCAACCACACTCCAACTTCCTATATTTCCTCACCTATCTGAAATTCTTTCAAGCATGGGCCATCAATAAAGTTGGATAACTGAATGCAATGGTGCAATAAGACTATAATAAACTTAATCCTGTAAATCACAATTTGTTGATTACTTCACATTGCAGTAGGCTTCATTCCTATTTTCCTTCCCACCTTTTAATTTTTTCTTAAATTGCTTGATGTAAGCCTCTTGAAGCCCTCACCCCAATCCAGTCAGATTTCATAATACAAACCAGCATGCCAGTAAATAAGTAGAGATGATAGTTGATTTCTGATTAATTGGTTTTTTGCATTAACAAATTTGTTTTTGAATCATGTAAACAAGAAAAAGTAAATTTACCTATCTTCCTGTAATAGCTTAATGCGAAGCTCCATTTCAGCTGCACTGAGTTGTTCATCAGGATATGTAACAGTAGGTTTTTCAGAAACTTCTCCACTCTTTGCAAGAACTTTGCCTATTCATGATAAATGAAGATTGCGATGTATTATGCAAAGCATAGAGCATTTAAATTAGGCAGATTTTATACTAAACCACTAATCAAAAAGAAACACAAAGGGAATAATGATCTATCAGAGATGTTTTGACTTCGGATCAACCAATACTTGATAAATAAGTACAACTTCGGGACCATAACCATAGAAATCAAACAGAATTTTGCACTTGTCAAGAGAGAAGCAAAAATTTTTTAAAAATTAAAAAAAAAAAAAGAAAACCAAAAACAAGAACAAATTAACACCATTGATATTTGATAACTTATTCAATATCAACAAGGAGAGATTGAAAACCGAAAAGCTTCTTCCAATAATTTATGAGAAAAGAAAAAGAAAATTGAGAGCATGCATGGCTACTGCTCATAACAAGGACAAATATGATAGGAAACCCTTAAGTGAAATCCTAGAACCCTATTGTGGCAAAACCCATTTAACAGAAACTTGTAACTTACCCACAAAATCTCGACAATCTTGGAGGTCGGAATAATTTTCAAACTCAAAGATGAAACTCCCATTCTGAAAAGAACACATGACAAAAACTTTGCAAGTTTCATCTCATCAAAACACAGAAAAGAATTGAGATCAATCTAAATAAATCAATAACCAAACCATGGTTATCTGTCCCTATACAAAAGTTTCCACAATGAACATGAACAACGATACCTGATTATTTGTAAGATTAAGCCATGGTGGCTTGTTTGATCCCTCCTTGGTATGCTTTTGGCCTGCGCATTTCATCACTTAAGCGACTTTGTTTATACAACATGATAGTGTGGACATCATACATACATACAGAATTAGACACAGTAATTTACCTTTAATGAATCGAAACTCGACATCAAGCTTTCCAGCTGACTTAGGATTATGAGGCACAAATAAGATTTTCTCAAGTGTCTGTTCAAAGCAAAGTTACTTCGCTCATTATTTCCTTCCTACCACTCAATATATTATTGAAATACTCACCAGAAAAATTGTATATTTACAGCTTAAATTTTCTTGAACTACAACTTTCTAATTCCAAAGAGCCCCTTCTTAGCATCTATTCAAACGACATTTTATTACTTTAAACATTAATATAATGCCTTGAATGTTTTTTTTAAAAAAAATGAAAGTAGCTAGCACTAAATACAATGTATTAGAATCTTCAAATATCATATAAAAAAATAAATTGTTTAACATTAGTTCATCATTCTTTTTCAACATGGATCAAATTGAAATCCAATAAATAAATGAAATAAAAATAAAATAAACTAAAAATGAGTACCATTCTAAGAGTACCGGGAGTTCCAGGGTCCTTGATTGTGGTTTTATACTTAGCTCGCTTAGTCACGTGACCACCCGTCATCTTCGCTTAATCAGGAAAATTTATAAAATTAATAATTATTGAAAAAAATCATATAATTGAGCTTTATAGTTTTAGGTTATATCGTAGGTAAAGAAAAAGAGAGAGATTGGATCGGAGAGGACAAAAACTTTAAAGAGTGAAAAAGAAAGTTGCAGCCAGAGTGAGGGAGAAGACTGAAAGCAAGATCAACACAGAAATGGAAGAAGGAATCGTCGGGAAAGAGACGATTATCGACGGAAAAATTAAAACTAGGCAGGTTTTGGGCCAAAACGTAAATTGGGCTTCTTTAAAACCGTAGGCCCTAAAATTATCTACGGACGTGGGAAAGCAAATCTCAGTTTTTAATTTCTTTTGCAAATTTTTATTTTTTATTATATTTAATTAAATCTATAAATTTATTTTTAAGATCAAATAAGTTATTTTTTGTTCGGACCACCTTTCATTAGTCAATGTAATAGTTACCAATTTAATATCAAGTCATTTTTTATAATAATGACAATGAAATAGGTTGACAGGTCATTTTTTATAATAATGGCACTAATAGATGATGTGACCAAAATATTAAAATAATTTAATTATTGATTAGATTTTTCTTTGTCTAATTATATATCATAAAAATATTGATTTAGGGATTTAAAAAAATAAAATAACTTGATCATAGGGTTCTTTAACAAAATTTCCTAAATCATCCAATAGCCCAAATATCAAATAAATGACAATCAATTTAAAGATTTGTGAGAACTTCAAAAGGAAAGTAATAGTACACCTTAAGACTCTAGCCTACGCATAGCCAATACTTCCAATGTGGATTTTCATATTCATTATGATCCAGATGTTGTTTTTCTAAATTATCAATCTATTAAAGTCGATAATATTAAAAGGTTAATAATAAATATTCAAAGGCTTTCTAATGCTATAATGTTAGCCTTTGGGATGTAGAAATTACTCAATATTAAAGCAGATGAGAAACTTTATAAAGCAACGCAAACTCTAATGATAAAGCATTACTTAGAGGCAAAGGTGCTATTAACGTTGTTAATAAGTTATCTGAACATATGAGAAGGTCTTTCAAAATTGAGGCAATATGACCATTGAGTTTGTAGTTTTGCTTTGGATCAGGTGTCTTTTATCAACAAATCATTTACCATTAAAAAACCAAAAAATAAAGAAAAGAACTCAAATCGTTTAATATAAAAACTTTAATTTCAACAAAACCCACAAATCATTTAACAACATAAAGAGATTGTAAAGAGTTGATTTTGGTTACTATTTATTCTCTAAAAAATTATTTTACAACATAATGTTGTACAAAAAATAATAAAAGCAACTTTTATTAGTGAAGCACTATTTCACGCAAAAACAATACTAAACAAGTAAAGCATTACTTCACACAAAACAACTAAAACAAATGAAGCACATTCCTTCATACAAAACAACTAAAATAAGTAAAATATTACTTCACACAGAATAATTAAATAAATAAAGTACTACTCTATACGAAACAACTAAGATAAATAGAAGAAGTATATCGCATAGAATAGCTATTGCACTAAGATAACAGTAAAGGCAGCCTATAATAAATGGCAGGGTTCATAGGTTACTTTTACTTTGGGATGTTTTAGAGAGTTTAGTTTGATGGCTCAACTATAAAAATTAAGAGGTCTTCGTATTAAACTTTTCTTGAAGTACAAGTATTTTCTCCTTGTACCTTGTTCTTTTATACTTGTTCAAGTACACTTTTTTCTCTTAACTTGTTTTTATATAACTTTTCACTTATATCTTTTCTCTAGTAACAGTTACTCACATTAAAGCTCTTCATAATAATGTCATTCATTATGCGCGTTATATTCTATTCTTAAGTAACCATCACTTTTGACATTATATATAAAACTTTCACAATTTATTTATGGAATTTCACTTTTCTAGAGCTTTTCTCTTTGATTCTTTTCTACATTATCTACTTATTCTCTTCTTATTTTTTTTCTGCCAGTTACAACACTCAATATTGCAAGAACTGCCCTAATCTTTCTCTTTACTACCTCTGACATATCCTTTTAATTATTTACAATGCTTATTCTCCTTATCACAAGAACTCCCATTACATCTTAACAACTCTACTAAGAAAAAGTGATTGCATTAGATAAAAGCTTATTAAAAAAACTTTGTGTTACCAGAAAGGATGGATAATTCCACTATATAGAATGAAAATGCTACTCCATGAGTGGATTAGGAATGGAAAAGTGAACTTGCCTTATGTTACATGACTACCAATAACAGAAGACAAGTCTAATATGAGATAGTGTATCATTGAACAGTTGGTCATTCACTTCTTAAATGTAGATACTTGCATAGAATATTCCATAAAAATACGCTAATAAAAAAGTTACTAATTGAGATTAGAACAACTTGTTTCTCTCTCATGTATGAAATTTCTAAGACTTTGACCCTTCATTATTTTATAAATTACAATTTGACAATTGAAAAGAAAAGAAATTCATACTCACCCGTCAGCTTTATTGCTTATATTTTAGCTGTAATTATATTATACTATTGATTATAAGCTTTATCACTCATTATTTGACTATAGTTTATCACTTTTTATTTAAGTTGCAAGCTTTACCGCTGATACTTTGGTTGCAACAATATTATGCTACTAGTTGTAAGCTTTATTGCTTATTTTTTTTTACCATAATTTGTCACTCTTACTTCAGTTACAAGTTTTATTACTTATATTTTGGTTGCAATGATTTTTTTTTTATTAGTCGCAAGCTTTATACTCATTATTTGATCATAATTCATCATTCATATTTCAATCGCTACTTTTATCGCTCATAATTTAGCTATAATGATGTTATGTTATTGGCTACAAGCTTTATTACTCATTTTATAACCCTAGGTTATTAATCACAGAATTGACTATAACTCTTACACTTATTTAATGGGTTGAATTAATCTCCATCACGTCAGGTTAAAATTAACGTCCTTGATATAAAGTTAGGAATTCCCTTTGACCGCATATAATAATGTGAAATATAAATAAGTACGCAACATGCGTATAACATTACTATCATCATCATCATCATTATTATTATTATTATTACAAAAAGAAAAAAAGATACAATATATCAAAGCAAAGTAGTAACTTAAATGAGCTTGAAAAAAAAAGTAAAAGCTTAGCCAACTACAAACTCTATAAAGAAGAGTTACTATTCTTAATATTGGCAAAGGGATCTAATTTTTCTCTCACTTCAATATCATGCTTTCTTAGTGAAGTTATTTTTATTGTAATGTCTTTTAACTCAATTTTCAAAAAAAACTTGTTACCTTCCATCGCAAGAAAAGTTATGGTTCTGTATCTACAATCATTAAGGCACTCAAGTTTGAATCCAACACTATAAGCTTCATTAATATACTATAACATCAATTGCAATTTCTCTGGTGAAGAACTCATGAGTGGAGTATGAGAAATCACTAAAGCTTTATCCAACACCACTATCATGAAACAAATGACATCTACATTCTTTAAAGGAAATATACTCCAAAATTTCTCATTTTTTTTGAAAATATGCTCTAAGTATTCCACATACTTCAAAGAAGCTTGAAAACTATAGAAGTCGACTTTCTTACCATTTTGCTCAATACAAGTTACTTGAGTGTCAAAAATACTATTATCACCTTTGTATTCTGGCACTAAGGAAGAAGAAGCAGGAGGATCAATCGAAGTAGCTCTAGCATCATCAGTAATAGCTCCAAAATCATAAACAACCTTAATACTCGGAGTAGCTCCAACGTCAACTCTAACATCATGAATAACCTCAACATTCAAAATAACTCCAATATCAAGAACACCTTCAATAGCAAAAATAACCTCAATGTCTGGCACAACCTTATCTTAAGTAGCTTAAGGAGTAAAAATGTTCATAGTTTCACAAAAAACGAAAAATCAAACAATATCACTTGAAATAGCATAGTAACATGTTTCTACTTAGTTATATTGGAACTCTAAGTGCGAAGGGAAAACAAAACATCCAAATCAATGAAATCATCAAAAGAGCTTGGCAATATATTTGGTTTTCTAAAAGAAAAAGCAACATTCTCAACTTTAGCCTCATCAACATGACTCGTCATTTGAGTCGTCACTACGTTCAAAATCACATAATTTTTTTTTAGTCTCAGCTTCAAAAGTTTTTTCCTCTTCAATTGAGTTAAGTTCTACTCTAGTAGTTCTTACTCTCTTAAAAAACATAAAATAAGGAAATGAATTAAAAAAAAGTAAAAAAAGAAGCAAATGATGAATTTACTTTTCGATGCACATGTCTTGTTCAATAAGTAGGAAGGTGAGGAGCAACATATTTTTCATTTGCATTTTTCTTCCTTTTACAAGGAATCAAGTGCAAGGATACATCGATGTTACTAACATGAGAAGTGCAAAGACGAGCTTTGGGATTAACTAATGTCATAATAAAAGATTTATATTCTTTAAGATACTCTCCTCAATAAGCAAACCATTTAGATGTGTGAATACCAACTCTATCAAAAGTTGAGATGGCATAACTTTTAAGTTTATATAAATAGAATTGAAGTGCCATCATGAAGAATAAAGAAAAGTTTATAGATGAAAAAAAGTCAAGTGAAACTGGCTAATCAAATCCAAATTGGCACACCATTTTATAAGGAAAATACACTTTAATATAGACAGTGAGTCTCTATCTTTACCTAGACTAACACTTTCAAACATATAAAGCAATGGGGAACTATGAACCTATATGCAAAAGTTAAAATCTCATGAGCTTATTCTTTTAAACTATAATGGGTGATAGTCATAAAAAACTCTAAAATCACTGAATCATTTTTAAGCTGCATATAAGGTCTAGTATTGAATTCTTTTGTCACATCTATCACTTCAAGAGTGTTACCTTTTAAGATCAAAATATGTCATGCCCAATCTCTATAGTTATTCTTAGATAAAGGGTTATTTAGACTTGACAATTCGTATTTTCATGTCTTAAACGTGTCAGATACGATCAGACATAAAACACATTAAAGTTAAACATGAACACGACACAAATAATATACGGGTTTTAAATTTGAAATATATACACGTATGCATTTAATAACCATGTAACACAACACAATCAATATGTTTATTAAACATGTTACTGTAGGACACGACATGATTAATAGCATAATTAACACATTTGACAAGTTTAACACGATTAATTAAAAATATTTACAATTAAATATAATTTTATTATTTAAATTTAAAATCAATAATTATAAAAACAATTATAACAAAACAAAATAGTAATAATAACATCAAATGTAATAAAATTAACATAAATAATATATATAAAATTCATTATCATATAATATGATAAAATCCATCATTAACATTTAACCTTAAAATACTAATAATATCTAAAATGATCCAAAATGATAATAAAGCAAAAGTTCAAAATTTGGGCTTGGGCAAGTCATAATTACATTATTATCCTTATAAAATTAAAAAAAACTTATTAAAATAATTATTTAAAATTATTTAAGTAAAGCTAAAATAGTCTTTGATTATTAATTTTTAACAAGTTGATAAACGTGTCACGTATATACATTTAAACACAATTAACATAATTAATTAAAAGTATTTAAACGTGTTATTCATGTTTGATACATTAAGGCATGAAAATTTTCATGTCTTAACGTGTCCGGCATGATTAGACATAAAATACACTAAGACTAAACCCAAACTTGTTTAATTCATGTGTCATATTAATTTGTCATGTTCAAAATTACCAAATCTAGGGTTATTCACAAAAAAATATGTGAAATGATATACATTAGGCATAAGAGTGCAAATACCAAACCTTTCTCATACGCATTTTGAATTAAGGAAACATCTACATAAGTCAAAATTTTGTAATGCCTAATTGATTTGGCAATCTGAAGTTGGTACAAGTTCAACCTCTTATATAAAGATCCTAAATACAAAGGAGTAAAATGAAAACGTATCCCTTTAGCAATCTTTATTGCTAAAATAATGACTACTAAAAAGATATCATCATTTGGACAATTTAGAAATATATGTCGTGTCAATAAAAAAATTAATAAATTCACTAACTCATACTCATGGTCTGAATACTCAAGAAAGCCACTACTTGAGCATTTAACTTTTTGTAAAATATCTCTATCCAATTGGAGAAGCATGTAACTTTCAAAATTTTGCTTAAACTCTTGAGTAACTCGAAAAAGAATTCTCAAATACTTATCAATACTTAGAGATGTAAATGGATATTAAGTAACTGAGTATCCGTGGGTACTTGACACGATAACAGAGGATTTGAGTATCCCATAATCAATTATGTGGTGAGTTTGGGTATTATTTTTAAGGTACCTTAAGCTCGAACTTGATTATATTTATTTCGAGTATTAACGAATATCCGATACTTGTATAACTTAATTATACTTGTATTATATATAATCATACACAATTTTGTAACTAGTAAGACTTGAACATGTCATGTGCAAAACAATTTTGCTGCACGCCATGTTCAACAATAGTATTCTACAAGCCATTTTGAAGAAAAAATTTTTACACGCCATATTCAAAAAAAAAATAAAATTCTATATGCCATGTTCAAACATTTTGCTATATATTATGTTTACTACATATCATGTACACAAACATGTTGTTACACGTTATGTGTTCAAAATATTTTTTACACGTTATGTGCATTAGAGTTGTTACATGCAAATATGGCATGTAACAACTTTGGGTAATATTCTAATTTATAGATGGTTATGTGAAAAGTAATAAAATTAAAACATACTTGGATGTTATTTCTGCTCTTAAGTCTATAAATCAACAACGACGTGATGAGATGACAAAAGATAGATCAAAACGCGATGGAGATGATGCTCAAATTAAAGAGAGCTTGAGAAGTGAGAGAGCTGAGGGGGCATTTAATTTGTCTATATAGTAGGAAGGAGAAATTGAGAGATTAATTTCTCTTAAATGTTTTTAATGATATTTTTGTCAAGTCATTATAAAAATTAAATAAAAATAGTTAACTTTATATCTATAGTTATTTTTTGAAAAAGACTTATGAGGTGGATTATTTCTCATAATTTCTTTAAAAAAATATCATATTAGCTTGGACATAATCATGAAATTTTAACGGTATTAGGATCTAAATTGAAATTAATAAATTGGAAAAAATGTTCAATTTAAGTAAATTATTGTACAAGAATTAAGTTCACATTTTCTTATAAAATATAAAAAATAATTATATAATTTGACCTTTCTACCCTCACTACCAAAGGTAAAAAGACCTGACGAGATTTAGTGCGTACTTTGAACTTCCCAATTCCATGACCTCATTCCTCCCCATTTTATTTGTTTGGTCTTTTTCTTCCAATGCTCCAATCGCACACAATGCCACAGCTAGTCCCCAATGTTTTCATCCAAATCTAAACCCAAACCCCATTGAAAGAAGACTATTTCTCTTTTCCCTGACTCAAAAATTCAAAAACTTCAAAACCAGGGCCTCATTTCTTCTCCCCTCTTCCTTGTTCCCCTTCCCCTCCTTTACCAAAACATTCAAAACCCTAAATCCATGATAAAGGAAAGACGCTTTGCCCCTTCTGTCCTCTGCCTTCTATTTTCCTTGATGATCTGACCAGTCATTTTGGTTTTTCTCATCGAGTTTGGTCCGCAATGTCGGACGACATGTTATTACATTTCTCTTCCAACTCCTCAAACCAATCGGACCATTCTTTGCCCACCAAGATTGCAAAGCTCGAAGCTCGCTTGGTAGGCAAGGCCTCTTCGGCAACTGCTTCTCAGCAACCGCCGCTGCCGCAACAACAGCAGCAGCAGCAGCAGCAACCGCCGGCTTGGTCTTCTTTATCTTCGGCTTCAAAATTCCCTTCTGCTGAGGACTTGCCCGACGCTTCTAGTTCAAGTGATTCCGATGACGAGGTAAAAAGCCCTTACGATTTTCTCGACATTGTTTTTTTATTTTTTTCCATTTCAAATGCGGAATGATAGAAAAACAACTGCTAGTTTCGGAGCACATTTTCTCCGAACAATTTATTTTAGTTGGAAGGATTGCGATTTGGATGTTCATATGTTTATTGCTTATTGCTTTGCAGTAATTATTTAGCGTGGCTTTGGCCTACTTTGCGTTGCGATAGTACATACCTGATCGGAATGATTGGTGTAAATGATTAGAAGTTTTGATTCATCATGGTGGATCATTGAAACCAGTAGAATGTTTGGGTTAATTACTGTACTTTTACATTTGAAGTTGTTGCCAAGTTTGTGGATAAATTTTGTAGCATTTGATCAAAAGCGTAATCATATCTATGACATGTTTGGCAGTTTCACCATTTATATATATATGCTATTTGGACTATGTGAATCCCCATCCCCCTATCTTCAAGTGTTGTGGAATTCATTGATATCGTTCAAGTTTTAAGACTTGGATTAATGTCTTTTTATATGTCTTCTGATGCTAGAATGGAGGAGAGTTTTTAATACAAGCCAATACTCTGAAGCGCCAGAAAGTTCAAAAAGATGATAACTTGCCTGTGTTTGAACATGTTGAGGTAGGTTTATGATTCATGAGCTATTGTTTTGGGGGTTTGGAAATAATGTCTTTGCTTTTGAGGTCTTGAAGGTGATTTGATGACATCTTTTGTGAAGCAATTGGTTATATAGCCTCACTTATTGTCTCTATTTATCTCTCTGGGCACTATAAATTTTCCTTTTTGCTTCCAGAAAAGGATTACGTAGTTTTCGTTGTTTGAAAAATGAATCAGGCAGTTGCAGAAGGGAGGCAGAAGATTGTGGAAGCCATGGAGTCCAAGGCAAGTTCTGATGGAAATAGGAGAAAACAAGGCCGTGGAAGGGGCCATTCTGTTTCAAGCAGAGGCCGTGGTTCTAGAGCTAATGATCAGACAAGACAACCAATCTCTAGTTCTATACTATCACCTTCAAATGGTCAGCTTGAGAACTCATATCATAAGGTGTGCCTCCATTGCCACAGGATGTTCTGCTTTTTATTCTCTCCCTGGTGACAATTAAAGTCACCAATGCCGGAAATGCTCTTTTACATTGTGTCTAGTGGCCTTTTTGGCATGTTGGACCATTGATTTGACTGCTGTCTACTTGCTTAGCTCAAGAGGCAGAGAAGAGGGCTAAGTTGGGGCATTTGGAGGTCAAACTTTTTAAGTTCAAAGAGTAAAGATGAAAAACAGAAGGAAATAAACTAATCTTGAGGACATTGATCACATTTTCTTCTTTTTCAATATTTAAGCTTATTTTCTGCGATTTCTTTACTTTCTGCTCCGTATACTGCTCCAGGGGAAGAAGAGATATGAAGGAAAACTAAAAAATTGAGGCTTCCTGGGATAAGAGAAAATGTTTATACTTTAAACTGGAGTTTAAACCTGGGGGACTGTGGTGGCAAGTGTCTGTCAATTTGTCCTTCCATATTTAACTGATTTATTGAGAAAGAAAATTTAATAAGAACTTTTCCTTTCTTAAATTTTTAAATAAATAGAGGAAAATTGAGAAAACAATGAAAATTTAATTCTTTTTCCTTATGGCATACAAAACTGGTTCTGTAACAAAAATTACAACATTATTACAACAGACTAGTTCTAAAAGTCGAATCACATACAATTACAGGCATTTTGATACAAGTTATATTCATCTTGTAGGATAGTAGGCCTAAAGAGCAGTTTCGGACTGATGACCGAATTTCAGTAGAGGTATGTATCCTGGTAAAGTCTGTCTTCATTTTAACTATTTCAATTTCTTCTTCATTTATTTGGGCAATAGAATTTACTTCTTTTTAGTCCAGAAAATCTGGAGCAAAAAGAACTATGATTTGTTTTTGCAATTTTTCTAAAATATATTTTTGGGTCATTTTACTATCCGGGTCATTTTCTTTAGAGGTGCAGCAGATGCTATAACTCACATTTCTAACCATTTTGGTTGGCAACTTACCTTAGGAAGAGATGACATCTTTACGTGCAAAAGTTGCTGCATTGGAGGAGGACCTACGGAAATGTCGTCAAGAAGCTTCTGACTATCAAAATCTTTGCCGGCAACTAGAAAAGGTTTTAAAGTACCTCTTCTATATGACTTTTTTTCATCGGCTGTGCATAATTCTTTATGTACTTACCTCTTAGTATTTATGGTGTTTTGGCAGGAATTGAAAGATATTAAAGATTATGACCAGCAAATGAAGCCAAAGGTGTTTATTGGGATTTATTGATAGATCTCAATATTCTGCAAGTTCTAACTTTATTCAATGGCCATAAATATGAGCTTATATCACACCTCTAGCACAATTATAGTCTAGATCTTAGATAAACAAGATTTCCATTTTGGGTGGTGTTTCCCGCCACCAGGGAAGGGGTGGGGGAAGGATTAAAATGTTGTAACCAAGAAATATATAAATTCTCTATTTCTGTCATTAACTAAATCCTGGAAGAGATCTAAAAACTCTATTTTTTTATGCTCAGAAGCAACGAAATTTTTTTATTTTCATCCATTTTCAGAAATACACATAAAAAATTAGAATTTTTTGGCTGGAGCCTGGAATAGTAGACTACAAATGACTTTTGCAAGTTCTTTTTGTATTCCATTGGAATAAAGTAGCAGCAAAGTTCTTGTATACTGCGTTGTAAACTGAAACTGTAGTAAATCGGCGTCAATGATTAGTTGCCCTTTTGATCCAAGGAATTCATCTTCTAAGGTCAATGCCAGAAAAAACAACCCCTTCTTTTCCAATGTAATTTGACTCATTTCTGAAAGAAGCTTACAAGTTATGTAATAATGGAATCTAAGACAGCTAGATTCTTGTTATTGCTATAATAGAGGGCTTGTTCTTTGCTTTAGTCTGATATGAAAATTTTGCCTAATATTTCAATACACCTCTGTGTCTTCACGGGTTACGCTTTTTGGTAATATTCTTGTGAACCATTAATTTTTTGTGCATTATTGAACTTCTAAAATTGTTGTTCGTTTCACAAGATAGGTATTCACTCGTACCTAAAAGGGGAAAGGAAAATGACTAGAAAGGAAAATTTTGTTTAATTAAGTGTTCTCGTTAGCAATTTATGGTGTCAGTTTTAATTCTGGACCTCTTATCGATTGTGATTCAGAGAACAAAAATGATAGCTGATCTGCTGATAGCTGTTTCAAAAGCTGAGAGACAGGAGGCTAGGATGAAAGTACGGCAGGATTCGTTGAGACTCGGGAATGTGGGTGTAATCAGGTATATAAAGAAGCTTTCAAGATATGGTTAATGTGCTTGGAACAGATTCTTCATGCTTGGTGTGGTGCTTAGTCGGACTGAGAGAAAAAGCAATCAAGGGAAAATTTTGAAAAAGAATGTTGAAATATTTTATACAATGAAAAGCAAAAAACGGCAACTATTTTAGGTATCTAATAGTGTTCAATGAAAGAATATAGTAATAAACTGGGATGAACGTATGCCACAAATTCTTTAGACTTGGCAATGTGGGTGTATTCGGGTTTGTAAAAAAATTCTTAGCTTTAGGTAACAAGCTTGCTATGGATTCTTCATGCTTGGTATAGTGCTTGGTCTGAGTGAGAGAAAAGCAAAAAGAAAAATTTTGAATGTTATATTTGATTGCATAACAAAAAGCAAAACAATGGTGAAAATGTTAAGTATTTAAAAGTGTTCAAAATAAGGATGTACAGACATAGATGGACTCATAAAGTTGCAACATGTTATTTGAGAACATTATCAGGTAGTTCCTTATGATTGTTTCAATCTACAGTGCTAAAATAACACATTGATAGTGTGATTCCTCCAAGAGAGTTTTTACTATAAGAAAAAAACTGCACACATTATGTATCGAAAGGCAGGCTTCACTGTTGATAATAAGCTGCCATGTAGTTCACAATTCGCAGGGATTAATAAGACATGTGATCCTGATATTAAACTTAAGTGGGAGGAAAAATGGTATTTTGATGAATTATGCAAATGCAAAATTTGTTATGAGTATCTCTACACACTGCTGGAGTTATATGGTTTGAGGATCCAAAAATGCTGCTTGGTTTAATATTTTTCCTTCTTTCTGTATCATTTGCATCATTCATGTTAATGTGGTACCATGGTATTACAACTCGTTGCATCTATTAATTTATAAGTTGACCCTATGTACGTTATCCTTCAGAGCCGGAACAGTCATATCTGAGACATGGGAGGATGGGCAGGCACTGAAAGATCTAAATGCTCACCTTGTATGTTCTTCTCTATTTCTGTCTCTCTCTCTAATGAGTAATAAAAGGAAAAGTTAATTGATGCAATAAATTAGGCCTTAGCAGTCTTTTTTGTAAGTATACTAGCATGATGATTGATATTGCTTTTCTCTTTTTTAAATATGTTTCCCTTTCCCTTTTGCATTTTCTTTTCTTTTAGAGACAATTGTTAGAAGCCAAGGAGGCTGTTGAACGGCAGAGGAAACAATTGAAGAAGCGACAATCTGGTAAAGCATAATTTCTGTGATAACAAGGTTAAGAGTTCCTACTGTCTGTATATCAAGTTCTGAAATTATGATATGAGAAAAGATTTAGGAATTTGTTCAGTCTGTTTTAAGTGTTATGGAATTATAAACAGGATATAACTTAAGGATGTCAGTTCACATAATTCCAGCCTCAAAACCTGTTACTGGGCCAAAGCCTAAATTTTTTGTTGCTTACAGGCATGCATATTTGCTTATCTAGGAATAGCTCTAGGTTCTAGAGCTCAATTAAATTGAGAAATTATTACTCTAATTCCTAATTAGCTAGCAAGGCATCTTCTGTAGTACCAAAAGGACCTCTTTGTTGATGAAGGACCCATGATCTTGAGCCTTCGGCTTCCAAAGTGGATGAACTTTATCTAACTAAGCTATTATTGTGCCATTAACTTGCCTTTTGGTCCTTGTTCCTGTTGCCCTAATGTGACTTATGTTTAAAAAGCAAAAGAGTTAGACAAGGTGTTTTGCCTCTTATGAGACAAGAAGTAAGCCAAGTAATGGAGCATAAACCTTTTGAGAGTCAATCTCTTAAACTATAAGTTAATTCGATGAAAAGATTGAGGTGTAAATTGAAGATTAAAATAAGTTTGAAACTAAAATGAAATAAACAAGTGTTAATATCAAACATTAATAATTTAATAACAGTTACACAAGTAAATATACTTGAGATAAGGAAAGGAAAAGATCTTAAGATCTGTTGGAATCTTTGTGGTGGGCCACTATTTACTATTATCTCATGAGTCATTGCCAGAGAAGTGGGCGAAGTTTCTGGTGAGCCATCATATGACCAAAGGGATGCCATGCCCTGCAGAGACTCTTTTAATGCTGGAGGTGCCCAAAAAGCTTCAATAGTGTAAAAAATGTGCTATTTTGATTTGTTTCATAAGAGAAGCTTGTGCTAACCTTGAGTCGAGCTATAGTTATAACATATCATATTATTTTTTAGCCATGCCTTGCGTCAGGGTGCACCTTGAAAAAGATTTTGACCACTTATATGACTCATTGAGCTGGATTAATGACATCTGAAATTTTCATGGACCTAACTTTTACTTGAAGATTTACTCTTGGTGTACATGCACCTAACATATAGGTGCATACACACATAAATCGATGGTCTCATTGATATGGAATATAAACAAATATTGTAGCATACATGCAGACACACCCAAACATAACTCCACACACAAATAAATATGTAAAAGAGTATACATCTAAAAGACAAGCAATTTTCTCTTGCTTGAAGACAAGGGTGATGCGACTGATGCAGAACCAGGTGCACAAGAAGAAGATATTTTAATCCAAGATGAGATATACAAATCACGTCTAGCCAGTATTAAACGTGTAAGTTTATCATTCCATGTGATTATTCGTGATTCTATCTGATATTATTAGAGAGCACAAAAATTCTACTGTTTTTTAACTTCCACATCCTTAATGGTTGAGTTGTGGATTTTCTGTAGGAGGAGGAAAGTATTCTCCGTGAAAGAGATCGCTATGAACTAGATAAGGGAAGGCTTATACGTGAAATGAAGCGCATTCGAGACGAGGATGGTTCCCGTTTTAACAATTTTCAGATACTTAATAATCGATATGCCCTTTTAAACCTTCTTGGCAAAGGAGGATTCAGTGAGGTTTATAAGGTCAGAACTTTGGCAAGCTTATATCTTTTGTGATTCTATTGTTTTCTTAAGCATGTGTGACCGAGGCCTATTTGCTATGTCAAAACTCTAGAACTCCTTTGCCAAAATTGGCAATTGTGAAAATATATCTTTTTGCAGTGATTTGAAGTAAGAAATTTCCGGCAGGCTTATGACTTGGTAGAGCATAGATACGTTGCATGTAAGCTTCATGGTCTGAATGCTCAGTGGAGTGAGGAAAAGAAGCAAAGTTACATACGGCATGCAATTCGAGAGTACAACATTCACAAGACATTGGTGCACCATCATATTGTTCGGCTTTGGGACATTTTTGAGATTGACCAGAATACTTTCTGCACTGTCTTAGAGTACTGCAGCGGTAAACTATCTCATCCATATTTTTCTGTCTGGGAGTCTTATTTCAATTTACCTGGTAGAGAAGACCTGCAAATTCTGTCTGGACAATGGTTTTAAATCTGCCTTGCATGCTTGACTCTAATTGCTCTTTGTCTTTTGTCTTTTATTTTGTTTTCTTTTATTGCCTTCAGGCAAAGATCTCGATGCTGTATTGAAGGCAACACCTGTACTGCCCGAGAAAGAAGCTAGGATTATCATTGTTCAAATATTTCAAGGCCTTGTATACTTGAATAAAAAAGCACAGAAGATTATACATTATGATCTGAAGCCTGGTAATGTTCTGTTTGATGAGTTAGGTGTAGCAAAAGTGACTGACTTTGGTCTTAGCAAAATAGTAGAGGATGATGTTGGTTCTCAGGGTATGGAACTCACATCCCAGGGAGCTGGAACTTATTGGTGAGTGATGCAGTTTAATGTCCTTCCTTGTACCTTTGAAATTTTTTCCTCTTCTGCTGCTTCTCCTCATTTATGCTGCAATGTCCTCATATCTTATGCCAATCATGTGCTAAATTTAGCACTTTTTCCAACTTGGATGCAATAAAGAATCTCTGTTGAATAATTGACCATCATCTTCTATGATAATTTGGCCTTTGAGAAGGGTTTGAGTATAAAAAACTCATACCTATTTGTGCTGGATTTTTTTGAATTTGATGCTGTAGCAGTAGCTGTATGATTTTGAAATATGTAAAGGAAACAAGAGTGCTGATGTCACATAAATAATGATTGATGTCATGAGCACAAATTTAGTAAATTTCCTAATGAGGATAAATTACTGGAAAGAAATCTCTATCTCTCTCTAATTCTGATTCTTTGTGCTATATTTTTTATGTTGAAAAAATAGTGCATTCTACATTTTGTCCCTGAAACTGGATTTAGTTTATATCAGTGTTCAGTGGCTGTCATAACAGGATATGTTTCCATATGAGCAGCCTTGTTGATCCACTATAATGATTGTTTATAGGCTTTTTTATCATTTTCCCCCTTTTCTCTGTATTGCTTTTGAATTAATGAGAGATTCTAGTTTCCTATGTTTAGATGTTACCTCATCTCTCTGATATGTGCTTGGTCATCTCCCGAGTTTCTGTTCATGAGCGACAGTGTCAAATTTTGTTTTGTAATTTCAGGTACCTGCCCCCAGAATGCTTTGAGCTCAGCAAAACACCTCTGATTTCATCAAAGGTCAGTGACTCTATCCCCAATCATCTTCTTCTCTCTCTTTTTTTCTTGCAAAGTGAGGGTGGGGCCATATAAGTGGAACCAATAAGTGGATGGTTTCTTTACCATGTAGAGTGTAACTTTTCTGACCTTAGAATTTTTGTTTCAGTTCATTGGATTTAGAATGCCCAAATGTTGTCTGACCCAATGCACCATTATTGCTTATGATTTGTTATTTGGGTCTTCAGTCTTTTATTAATGTGATATTCCTTTGGAAGCAGGTGGATGTTTGGTCTGCTGGTGTTCTATTTTACCAAATGCTTTTTGGTAGACGCCCCTTTGGGCATGACCAGACTCAAGAACGAATATTGCGTGAAGACACAATTATCAAAGCACGCAAGGTTGAATTCCCATCAAGACCTACTGTCTCCAATGAGGCAAAGGTTAGTTTTGTCTATCTTATGTAGTTGCTGCTACATATTGTTGTCTTGATGGATGAAACAACTTCTGTACATAACCATCAAAATCAGAGTTATATATTATGGTTATCATAATATGACAGATTGACTATGATTTGATGTTCAATTGCTTATTGTAGATAATTTCTTGTCAGATAATATTTCCGCTCAATGATGATCTCATAGCTGCAGAGTTTACTTGCTCTTCTCCTGTCTTAAGAAGCGCAGAAATTGTATTGATGCATGCACGCTAAGGGCATTTGTTATCTGTTAATGTATAATGCTGCAGATTCTGGGTTTAATATTGTTTTTCAGAAGTTTGAGGCTTTCATTTGCTTTGACTATCATGGAATGCTGATACATACGGAGAACTTGTGGTAGCTTGATGATTGACTTGATCATATTTTTAAATGTGCAGGATTTGATTCGTCGATGTCTAACCTATAACCAATCAGAAAGGCCGGATGTTTTGACTATAGCACAGGATCCATATCTTACATATTCAAAGAAGTAAAAAAAAAAAAAATTGTACACATACACAGCTAAAGGGGCTCAAGAAGAGCAGGAGAATAGAAAATTTCCTTTTGAATTATTTTGGAATATCCTCATGGAATTTTGTATAGGTTGTAAAGGTTTTGTAATTATACCCTGCTTGTTTTGACCTGACAATTTAGTTTATTTTTTTGGTTATCGTTTAACTTCGATTCATTTTCTTTTGTTATGTGTGTTATTGTGCATATGATAGTTTCATTTTTCTTGATAACCAAGTATAGAAAAGATGGCTTTTAACTGATTAATCGAATGAACCTTTCTTCTTCTTTTTTTTTTTTTTTAGTTTTTATTACATTATACCTATTAATTTAATAGGGGGAACTAAGGTAGAAAAGGAAACCCTTTGAATGATTTCAAAAGAAGTTGTGATTATTAGTGCCTAGTTGATCTTATTTAGGATAAATATCTACAATTCTATATTGAGATATTTATTTAAGTCCATTTGTCTTATAATGTTAAATCTTTTCATTTAGGGGTTTGTTTTACAATTTAGGACCCCTTCCTGTCCTGTCCCATATAAGACCCTTTACAAACGACAAGTCTTACAGCAAGCAAAACGACTAAACACATCCCCTGGAGGCTGGAGCCACAAAAACATTATCCTCCCATCTCATGGCTCCATCTCTGTCTTCTACTTCAGCATTTCCATGCTCAAATTCTCACTGCAATCCAAGCCTGTTTCTAAGGTGTGAATCATCATCGCCTGAGTCAGGCCTGCCGGCAAGAACATCAAGACTTGAGATAGGGTCTCCCATAATTGTGGTTGAAGCACCCAAAATGGTGAAGACTGCCGCATCAGTTCCATGCCTCAGAGTTAATGCCGGCTTGGTCAAGCCTGGAGATGTTGGAAGGTTTGAGCTTTAGCTATAGTAAACAAATGTTGTATGTTAATGAATGTATGACTGGACTTGACTTCCTGTGCAGAATTGTTTCAAGAAAGCCCAAGGATGTGTGGGCAGTTCGTCTGGCTATTGGCACCTATCTCTTAGACAGGAAATACTTCCAGCCTTTGGAGTTTGATGAATGAATCTGATCCACAATAGCTTCAAGGTCCTTTTCCGACAGAGAAGCTCTATGCTTTTTGTGCATGTAATTGGTCTTAGTTTAATGCAACTCCCATGTTTGTGGAAACCAAGTATTTGCAGCAATCTTTAGTTGTATTTCGTTTTCATAATAAGGAGAGAAAGCTGTAAAGGCTTATATTGACACTATATTTTAATTATCTATCTATCTATATTTATATAATATTACGGATGTTGAACAAATTTTTATTAATAAAATTGGTCGTATTTATTCATTATATTTTTCAATTATTATTGTAAATACTTTTAATTAAATTTATGTAATTTTTAAATATATAAGATCATTGTTGTTAAAAATATATTTTATTGTATATATTAATAAGATTTATCAAATTTCTTGTCTGTTTTCCTTTTTGCTCCTGTTGCTGGTATCGTGGTTATGATTTGGTTTTCATTTGCTGTGCTTTGTTGGTTCCTTTATGTTTTATTTCTTTACATGTCTATTACATCAATAGCTTTAAACTGAATTAAGAAAATTAATTAATAATCTCGATTATAATGCACGTGCATCGCACTCGTATGAATGTAATATGAAGTTGGGAAAACTACTTGAATAGCAATTTGTCTATCTAATCAGCCATGTTTGATCAGCTCTTCAATGAAAGTTCATCTCCTGAGGCTGTGATTGTATAGCCAATTGGGAAGTAGGACTTTATTTTGCAATTTGTTAATCGTGTAATAAATTGTAATCATAATAACGTCATCATTATTGAATAATAAAGGTTGAAAAATCATAAGGCCGATTCGCTAGAGAAGACGATAGAGGGAAGGACAGTAATAGAGGTGACAAAGCTGGAAATACCAATAGAAAGATATTGAGAAGGGAAAGGAAAGAGGAAAAGAGAAAAAACAGACAAGATAAAAATCAAATAAAGGAAAAAAGGGAATTTCAACAAACCCTATATTGGTTCAATAAACCCTCGAACCAATTTAATAAACCTTAAAATTAATTTAATAAATCTTAGATTTGATTCATTAAATTCTTAAGTTGATTAGTAAACTCTAAAACTAGTTTAACAAATTTTGAAATCAATTCGTTGCACCCTATAACTGGTTTTAAAGTTTAATGAATGGATTTGAGAGTTTGTTAAAAATGATTTTAGGATTTATTAAATCGGTTCAATAAACTTTAAAACTTGTTCAAAAACTGATTCATTAAACCTTAAAAGAGGTTGTAGAGTTTAACAAATCGATTTGAGGGTTTGGTAAATTGATTTCAGGGCTTAATGAATCAATTCGAGGGTTTGTTAAACTAATTTTAAGATTTAATGCATCATTTCGAAAGTTTGATAAACTGGTTTTAAGGTTTATTAAACCAATTTTAAAATTTAATGAACTGATTCGAGGGTTTCTAAACCTATAAGAGTTTAATGAGCTGATTTGAGGGTTTATTAAATCGATTTTATAGATTAATGAATCAATTTGAAGATTTGTTAAATCGATTTGAAGGTCTGTTAAATTGGTTTTAGGGTTTAGGGAATTAGTTTAAGGGTAAAATTAGTTTTAGGGTTTTACTATATCGATTTAATAAATTCTAAAATTGATTCTAAAGTTTAATGAATTGGTTTAAGGATTTGCTAAGTTGGTTTACTAAATCGGCTCAATAAACTCTAAAATCAATTCAATAAACCTTAAAATCGGTTCAACCAACTTTAAAATCAATTCATTAAATCCTAAAATCAATTCTAAAGTTCATTGATTTTGTGGTTCTTGTTAAATTGATTTTAGAGTTTAATGAATCGGTTTAAAATTTTATTAAAATATTTTTAGGGTTTAAAAATCGATTCGAGAGTTTGCTCGATTTTAAAGTTTAATAAACTAGTTCAAGAGTTTGTTAAATTAATTATTGAGCTCACTCTATAAGGATTGAAGGATTGAAGAACTGGATAAGTGGCTTGACTGAACATAATGATCGAGTTGATAAAGAAAGCCATAGGAAGAAGACCCCAGATGCACCGTTTCAATAATAATGGGGTAAGAGGAAAAGAGAGAGGCTTGTACGTAGCGTTTCAATAAAAGAGGAAAGCTTCAAAACTATACTGTTTTATGTATAGTTTATTTTCAAAATTTAGTTAGTGTAATGATTAGCTAGTTAAGCATTAATAGCTTTTTTCTTCTTTCAGCTTAAGGTTGAGCTACTGTATATAAACTTTGTAAAGATTTTTTCCCTATTGGGTAATGAGAATATCCCATTCTCTCATCATCTTGCGCTGCTCTCCCTTCCTTTCTGACATGGTATCAGAGCAGGGTACAAAATTCCTACAAATAATACTCTTCAGCTAGTTATCGAAGAACATCTATAGCAGAGATCTTTTGTCATATTCTCATCAGCATCCTTCTCTTAGTAAGGTTTTTGATAATCAACTTTACTTAATCTCATTTGTTCTTTTGATCTTCATTACTTCTCAACTTGATCTGTCAATTCACAAAAACAATGTCTGAATCTGGATCTAATGAATCAAGATCTCAAACCATGGCTCAAGCACAAATTTCACCAATAAGGGATCCCCAATCACCATATTTCATTCATCATACAGACCATTCAGGTTTTGTAGTGATTACCCTAAAGTTGACCACAAATAACTATATTACTTAGAGTAGCTCTTTCCAGTTGGCTCTTTCTATTAGAAACAAAATAGGCTTTATCAATGGAACCATAGTCAAACCAGACATTTCAAATCTTTTGTTCTCCCCTTGGATCTGTTGTAACAATCTAATAGTGGCTTGGCTATTGGATTCAATATCACCACTTATAGCATCAACAGTTTTCTACATGGACACTGCTTTAGAAATCTGGGCTACACTGAAATAAAATTTTGCACAGCCTGATGACACTAGGATATGCAATCTCCAAGACACTATGGGCAACATAACACAGGGTTCACGACTAGTGGATACATTTTTCATTGAACTAAAAGGGGTTTGGGAGGAGTTGAGAAGCTTCAGACCCCTTACCACATTGTGAGTGTGGAAATTGCAATCCAAATTGCTTCAAGAAGTTTTTAAATAGCATCAGAAAGACATGGTTTTTAGGTTTTTGAATGGCTTGAACGAATCATTTTCTGCTGTGAGATCCTAGATAATCCTCATGGATCCCATTCCAACTCTTGACAAAGTATGTAGTCTGGTTCTGAGGGAGGAAGCACAGAAAAACATGCTTTTTAAAGTATAGCCAACTCTTGAAATAGCTGCAATGTATACTGCAGTAAAAGAAAAAAAGAAAGTCAAAAGGGACATAGTTTGTAACCATTGTGGAAAGAAGGGACATGTTAAGGAGAAGTGCTACAGGCTGATTGGTTTTCTAGAGGATGTTATGCTATACAGATTCTATCACAATTCATGGACAAACTGGGAAAAGAACGTTTAGTTGCAGCTCATAGATTTTTGAAGTATATGAAAGCATCACCAAGGCAGGGAATACTGATGGAGTCAAAATATGCTATAAAAATATCAGGATATGCTGATAGCGATTGGGCAGGATGTTCTGACACTAGGAGGTCAGTTACTGGATTTTGCATCTTTATTAGGGACTCACTTGTAAGCTGAAAATCAAAGAAATAGTTAGTGGTTGCAAAGAGTTCAGCTGAAGCAAAGTACAGATCAATGACTTTAACTTGCTGTGAAATGATATGGATCAGGAGTCTTTTAGAAGTTTTTGGAATCAAACAAGATGAAGCAATGGATCTCTATTCAGATAGTCAATCTGCTATACACATTAGCAAAAATCCAGTGTTTCATGAAAGGACCACACACATAGAAATAGACTGCCATTTTATTAAAGAGAAGATTCTCACTGGCTTGATCAAACCAAAGCACATTCCAACCAACACACAAATTGCAGACATTCTTACTAAAGCATTACAACAAAATCAATTCTATAAACTCTAGAGCAAGATGAACGTTCATGACATTCACTGTTCCTTTTGAGGAGGAGTATTGAGCTCGCACTTGAAGGATTGAAGAACTGGATAAATGGCTTGCTAAACAGAATGATCGATTTGATGAAGAAAGCCACAGGAAGAAGACCGTAGATGCACCGTTTCAATAATAATGGGGTAAGAGGAAAAGAATGAGGCTTGTACGCAGCGTTTCAATAAAAGAGGAAAGCTTTAGAACTATACAATTTTATGTATAGTTTATTGTCAAAATTTAGTTAGTGTAATGATTTGTTAGTGTAGCATTAATAGCTTTTTCTTCTTTCAACTTAAGGTTGAGTTACTGTATATAAACTTTGTAAAGATTTTTTCCTTATTGGGTAATGAGAATATCTCATTCTCTTATCATCTTACGCCACTCTCCCTTCCTTTTTGACATATTTTAAGATTCAATAAACTCTACAACTAATTTAACAAATCTTAAAATAGATTCATTAAACCTTAAAATTAATTCTAATAAACTTATTTGAAGGTTTGCTAAATCGGTTTTAAGGTTTAAGATTTATTAAATTAGTTCAAAAAACACTAAAATTAATTTAATATAACCCTAAAACCAATTCAACAAATCTTAAAATCGATTAAAAAATCTTAAAATTAATTAAAAATATTTAAATTAGTTTACAAAACCCTAAAATCAATTCAAAAAACCCTTAAACCAGTTCAAAAAACCTTAAAAATTGATTGAAAATTTCTTGGATGAATTCTTAATTACTTAGTTATATTTTTTGATTTAAATGTATGGTTATACATTTAATTGATTTGACATTCGAGTCTCATTCTCGTTAAAGGATGGTTCTAGCTTTGGCTTTTCTGCTTTGTGTATCTATCTATTGGCTGTTTGTTGGTGGAAATAGAGGGGAAAGAGAAGGGAAGGAGAGAGGAAGGAAAGCCCTCGTCAGCATAGAGAAGGAAAGGGACGACTCAATGACGGTGGAGAAGAGACCGGAAGCAAGGAAAGAGTCGGAAAACCAAATGCTATGGACAGGTGTCAAGCATAGGGAACCCATGTAGCCAAAATTAAAATAGTTTAGATTCGATTCTGCTTGCCTTATAAGCGTGACTTGTTCCCTTTAGCGATAACAAAACCTCATAAACAAACAGCCCTACATAATCGAGCGTAATGCTCCTCATATGGGCGCACCGTAGCAAATTGCAGGAGTAATTTCAGCTTTGCGCCTTTTACCGCCCATAATACGCATTTGTTGACCTCCCGTACTATTTTCGAACCTCTATTACTAAGTTTCGCGGTGTGCTCTCACGCCTTAACCTGCGCTCCCTACAGC